TCACTGTAAGAGTGTCTGTATGACAGTTGAATGATGGTGAGGATTTGGGCATCTCTGATAATACTGTTGTGTCTATGTTTAAATTTTGTTAAAACTAATGTATAATCGTGGCTGATATGTCTGTGAGGATGCCAAAGGCCTGAAGAAAGCAGATGCTTAATATGGCTTCATCTGTCAAGGTCTGTATGTTGCAGGATCCTTTATAGCAACATGATGAGAGGAGGTAATGTACAATTGTTGGTGGAGGTTTTCAACAGCTAAAGATTACAGGATATCGGCTTAAAGGTTCTTTGTTGAAGCAGTGTTAGAGAGAACTATTGGACAAACTTCAGAGTCTGAAAAAAGACTGCTTCTGAGTTACTGAGATTCTGGGTATTTTGCACCCACTGAACTGAATAATTTGTGTTGAGGTAGAACTCTGGGATTTAACTTTTCAGTTGTAGCATTGATTATGAGTACATAACAATTTTATCAAATATTTTTTAAAGGGTGATTAGTTATTTTTGTGTTTTGTTGCTCATTGTGTTCAAATTAACACAGGATTCAGAGTTGGCAGTATGGGGTATTTATTTTGTCATACCAGAAGTACAATTCAGGTTGCTTATAGGAATTTTTTCTTCCTTTTAGCTGATGACTGCTGATGTTGACAACTTCAAAAAGAGCTTTTTTTTCTTTTTAAATTCTTCCCACACATTTGGCTATCATTTAGAGGTGTTGGGAAGTGGAAGGAATAGCATCCAATAACATCTGAATTCCATTCCCTTTTCTCATCTCGGTTAGCTTCAGCTGTATCTTGAGGGAGTCTACATAAAATGATAATCCCTGTTTTCTGAGATGTTACCACTGGTTCCCACACAGTGATCAAAGGTATCAGTACTTGCTCATAGACATTCCAACCAGTATGACACCAAGCTCTTCATTGTTGCAACAGATTTTGTTTTAGGGAAGAAAGATGGAAGCAAAGAACAGCCCCACATTTTCTGTTGTTTTTATCTTTTTCTAGGGTTGATGGAGCTCCATGCGTGACTTTCAAGCTCTGTATATTTTCTTGGTAATATCAGTGAGAAACTCATACGTGCAAAAAAAAACCCCAACCCTGATTCTAATAAGAATCTTGTAGCTGGACTGAAATGAAATTGAGATAGTTTCCAAGGACTAATAGGGAGAGATTAAAGGGTTGTATGTCTGCAAGATCAGCCAGCAGAGAGAAAGGTGTTGTCAGATGTCAGTAGGGATGCTCTAGAAAGAATGTGTTTCTGGCTAGGACAGCCTCAGAATGGTGAAGGTTAAGACTGGGATGACTAACTGCTTGCTTTTAGTAATGAATTGTTACTGGAGGAGTGTTTATGCTACTACAGTTTCCACACAGACCTTGTGCATGTGGAGGGTCAGCAGAGGTCTTGCACTACTCAGGAGAATGGCTTAACTACATTACAGGTGCTTTTTTTTACTTTTTTTTTTTTCAGTTGGGTGGTGGTGGTAAGGTGTTTGTTTGAGCCAAAAAATGCTGGAAAAAATGATTTTGTTTTGTCATGAAAAGAGGTGATAGAGTCTGGTAGTATTATGAATGGCAGCATTCTCTTGGTGAAACTGGCTGCTCGTGGCTTGGATGGGCACACGCTTCACTGGGTGTAAAATACTGGCTGTGTGGCCGGGCCCAAAGAGTTGTGGTGAATGGAGTTAAATCTGTTTGGTGGCTGGTCATGAGTGGTGTCCCCCAGGGCTCGGTTTTGGGGCCACTCCTGTTTAACATCTTTATTGATGACCTAGACGAGGGGATCAAGTGCACCCTCAGTAAGTTTGCAGATGACACCAAGTTGGGTGGGAGTGTTGATCTGCTCGAGGGTAGGGAGGCTCTGCAGAGAGACCTGGACAGGCTGGAGCCATGGGCTGAGGCCAACTGGAGGAGTTTCCATAAGGCCAAATGCCGGGGGCTGCACTTGGGCCACAACAACCCCCAGCAGCGATACAGGCTTGGGGAGGAGTGGCTGGAGAGCTGCCAGTCAGAGAGGGACCTGGGGGTGTTGATTGACAGCTGGCTGAACATGAGCCAGCAGTGTGCCCAGGGGGCCAAGAAGGCCAATGGCATCCTGGCTTGTGTCAGCAATAGCGTGGCCAGCAGGGACAGGGAAGGGATCTTACCCCTGTACTCAGCACTGGTGAGGCCGCACCTTGCTTCCTGTGTTCAGTTTTGGGCCCCTCACTGCAAAAAAGACATTGAATTACTTGAGCGTGTCCAGAGAAGGGCAACGGAGCTGGTGCAGGGTCTGGAGCACAGGTCGTACGGGGAGCGGCTGAGGGAACTGGGGGGGTTTAGTCTGGAGAAGAGGAGGCTGAGGGGAGATCTCAGCAGCTACTTGAAAGGAAGTTGCAGGGAACTGGGGATTTGTCTCTTTAACCAAGTAATAAGTGATAGGACAAGAGGGAATGGCCTCAAGTTGAGCCAGAGAAGGTTTAGACTAGATATTAGGAAGTATTTCTTTCCAGAAGGGGTTGTTAGGTGTTGGAATGGGCTGCCCAGGGAGGTGGTGGAGTCCCCATCCCTGGAGGTGTTCAGGAGTCAGGTTGACAGCACTGAGGGATGTGGTGTAGCTGGGAACTGTCAGTGTTAGGTTAATGCAGGAAAATGCAATAGTTAATCTTTACTGTTAGTTACTGCACATGAGTGGAAGTTACCATTCCTTGAAAATAACTAAGAAATTTGCACAAAGGTGAAAACTTAAACAACAAGGGAAGATAGAGAGAGATGGGTAGATCTGGTAGGAGAAAGATATCTGAGGTGAATAGGGCTACAACATAAACATCTTTCTGTACAACCTGTGCTTGTGGTGAATTGCAGGGTTTCCTACATTTTGTTGTGGAACCTCTTACCAGATTAAGTATTATAGTACTTGTGAAGAGATTTATTACACCATCCATTTCCTAAAGCCAAAATTAGCGAAACACTTTTGTCATGTGGATGGTGAAGGATGTAGGTCACCTCTTTCCCTCTATCTTCAGGTTTTCCTGCTTTATAAAGTAAAACAGTAAAGAGACTGTTTTGTCTTAAAGCTTTTCTGCTTCTTTCATTTTGCTTTGACTTGATCTGTCTTAAAGATCTTTTGACTTGTACCTGATGGTGGGAACAGCGGAGTCTGTAGCAAGGCCAGTCTGAAGGAGTGGAGTTTGTAAATGCAGACCATAACAAAACATGCTCACTGCCGAAGTGAGTAAACTAGTTGTTAGCCTTATTGCTCAGGTTTGTTCTTTTGAAGCGTGTTGCATATGCAGTGCTGGTAGACCTTTTGCCCTGAAAGATTCCACAGGGAAATGAAAAACTAAACTGCAAAGTTTTTCAGAAGCATTTGTTACTGGCAGAATTTCCCGCAGATCATTTGAATGTGAGAAGAGTTCAGCCATGCTTAATGACTTTGCCAAACGGATTAAGAATGGGATTCTTTTTCCCAGTCAAATTGGAAAGTGTTGAGAAAGAAAATTTATTTCCGTTTAGAAACTTTTTTCTTTTTCCTCTGTGCTTCACCCGTTTTCTCTGGTATGCTTGTTCATATCTTATGTGCATACAGTTGCCAAGCTGCACCTTCTTTTTATATTGGCTGGGAAGAAGTTTCAAATGATCCAAATTCTGTTTCCATTGAATTTGGGAGCGTTGTTGTTATTTTAAACTGAGCTGGGAATGGAACTTGACCCTTGATAAATATTGGGATAACGTGAAGCGGTAACCCATGAAGTGGCCTGAACAACCGAGACACTATCGTTTATGGGCAGAGTTAAAAAGTGGGGGTTCTCTGTTTTGTCTCTGTCTAGGTATTCTGGATTAAAAACTGTTAGGCAACCAGACTAAAAATTGAGTATAAATTTCAGCTGATACACCGTTGCATTCAAAACAAGGCAGGGAATTTAGAGACAGTATTCTAGGTTGGTTGATTGCCGTGTAACCCAATTTCTACACATATGAAACTACTTACTAGTTTTCCAGAGTTAGATAATTGTAACAACACCCACCAAACAGGATTCTGTTTCTAAATTTATGGGGCATATGTTGTCTGTGTGGCAAACTTGATCGCAATAGCAAGCTCTTGATCTCTCTGTAAGTTTGCAAGGTTTTCATTTTGCCTGTTACATGTTTGTATTTAAGGCAGCACAGTATATGTCATCACAGGTTCTGTAGAAAGCATCCAGTCATGTACTGCAGACTGCTAGTTCTCAGACAGAACCAAATATACAAAAACCTTTGAAAACATATTTCTATTTATAGAAAGAGTTGTAACATCACAGGGCTCTTCACTTAGGCTTCTGTGCCCTTTGTCACCTGTATGTATAGAAAACCTGGAAAGAGATCTTTTCTTTTTAAAACAGGGCAATAACTTGGTTATCAGGCTTTCAAATAATTGTAATGTTGCAATTATGATAATTTTGAGAACTTTTTAAAAGAGTGCAAGAATGATATTTATTTTTCCAGATATAAAATAAAACATTCTACTATTGCAAATCTATGGATTCTTGGCTTTGTTTATATAAAAAGTGAATGTTTTACTTTCTGTTTGCTTGTGTTAGCAATGCACTCTAAATGCTGTCAGTAGCAGGAGCTTAAATGGGAAAATATACAAGGAAAGAAATAAATTTAGAAGCCATTGGGAGAGCTCTCTTTTAAATTTATTTAAAATGTTTTGGGTGGTATTTTTGGCCATCTATTGAAATTTCGAGATTGATTTTGGTTGCTTAAAAGTGTATAGTTAACTTTATTTCCTAAATTAATTACTAGTGGGTCCACTACGTGACCTTCTAGAAGAAATCAGTGATTTATGTATTTGTTAAAAGTTAGATAGCATAGACCATCTAGCTATGACACAGTTTTTAATTAGGATTTTAGCATGATGCAGTAGCCTATTGCTCATATGAATGCATCTCTTCAGCATGAGATTATATTTGGACTCACTTTTTTTTTTGTTTGTTTGTTTTTGTGTCTTTTCTTTCTCCCTCCTTGCCCCATTTTCTTACAGAGATCAGAATATTCTGGATCCTACTTTGGAATATGTTAAGGTAAGATACCATTTCTTACCCTCAGAATATTTTATTTGGTATATAATGAGTGCTGCCAGAGCATTTCCAGTCATTTGTAGTTAAATAGTCCTTCTGTCTGTCTTTTGCTACAGAAAAACAATTATATATGTCAGACTGTTTTCTCCATGTTTCAGTGGAATACTTGTAGGAATTGTGCTTTGGGGGTAGGTTCTAATTTTATATTGAGTCCTCTTTTCAGTTACATAGTGACTACCTATGATCTTGCCTTTATTAACACATTAAAAGAATCTGTATTTCTGGGGAAGAAAAGGTTAAGAAAGAAAAGAAGAAAGGTTTTTCATCTGAAAAGATTATAAAAATGTGAGATTTAGGTTTATGGTTTTAGCAATGTACTTACTAACATTACAGTTAAAAATTCAATTCTAGTCCAAAAAGTAACTGGAATGCTGAAAAAATTTTAAGTTCTGTTTTCCTTTTGAACAAGATTAGAGTCCTGAAAAAAAAAAAAGTTTTGTTAGAGTAAATAAAAAAAATATTCTGGAGCATTCATAAATGTTATTCAAAAATCAGTCTGGGTTTGGCAATATAGAAACTTTGGAGGAAGCCTTAGGGATGTGATTCTGTACTGGGAATCTCTTGTGGTACTATAATTTTCACTGAATTAGTACCTTTCAACATGTTTAATTTAAGTGAGTATTATTTCTCAGAACCTTGAAAGAATCTGACTTCTATCATGTCTCTCAATGATGGGCTGACTTAATTGTTGGGCTTTGTTCCCTGGCTTTTAGAAGACCATATTCTTCCAAAAAGTGACTGATAAACACAGGTTATCCCTGAAAGTAGGATATTTCTGTAGCTGTTCATGTGGACAGCCTGAATTTCTCAGATACCTGAATTTCTACTTCAGGTTAGAGTTTGGGTGAGGAAGACTAGGAGAGCCAGTCAACAGGGTTCTGCTGCTAGAATTCCCTCTGAGTTTTCATAGTTGAGGGAAACAGAGAGATGCCTGGATCAGGGTTCAGGTTGATTGAAGAAGTAAACTAGAAGAATGTAATGCAGTGTTGAAAGGGGACTGGCAAAAGAAAGTGCCAAGAATTAATTTGCCTGGAAGTATGGAAGGATCTTCTGCTGGACTTTCTGCCTAGGATTAGAATGGAGGTAGGAATTAGCGTTTGGAGGAAGAGAAGGGAAAGAGAAGAATACAAAGGTCCATGGAAAAGGGACTGCCAGAGGATTCTGAGGACTGCTGCTGGAATTCTGCTCTAAACAGCTCAGTGTTGCAAGGTCCCTGGCCTCAATCCCAGCCTAAAGTTGGGATGTGGAAAAGTATCAGAGTCAGAGAAGGCCAAGAGCCTTCTGAAGAGTACTGTAGAAGTGGGGATGCCAAAGGCAACAAAGTGGAGGACATGTTAATTGCTCTATTTTATTTACTGAGTATCTTGCACTATGCTGTACAGAGTACATTGTTACAGTTTTAATAATATGGCCAAGTAGAAGACAGAGGTTTCATGTGCCAATTCATCAATATGTGTGTCTTGTCTTGTTGCAGCAAGTTCTATATTATAAATGTGGTTTCTGATCTTTTCAACTTTTCTAGTAGAAGCTTGTCTTGGACTCTTGTCAATAGCAGTGGTGCTAAGCTTAGTTATGAAAACTTTGATGTTGGGGAGGAAAGCCTGGGGAAATGAGATTTACAAGGAAGAATATAAGGGTTACCATCCCTTTCTTTTCTCCTTCCTCTTTCAGTTTTTCCTGTCTATATCCCTGCTTTTAGTGAACTGTGTGTTTGGTCCCAGTTCAGTGGTGGTATAACAGGAATTTGATACAAGATATATCCTAAACTATAACGTTGAAAAATACACAGAAATTGCTTTCTAATAAATATAACCCAAAATAAAATTTTTTTGGCTGTAAAAGTCCAGATTACTAACAAAACTGATTCCAGTAATGTTTTCTTACACAAAAGATTATCATTAATGCCAAGTAATGGAGGACTCTTATCAATAATTTATTATCAGTTAACTGTGACTGTAAAAGATGCACCTGCATTCATAACAGCAGGATCTTGGAACCCCCATTGGCTTAGATTTTGGCAAGTAGGTGTTCATTGTCTTCTGTGATTTACCTTATGGTAACTACTATGTTTATAAATTTTCCTGCTCCTTGATTAAATTCTGATGGTGATGTTAAGTCAGGTATAAGCTGCAGAACACTAACCTACTCAAGTTACAACGCTGAAAGAATAAATTTCTGTACCATGTCGCTGTGCTTCTACCAAGATTTATTTGACACATAATATATGCATATTTAGTTTGAGCAAGCAGGGTTGGTGCCAGTTGGGTAGCCTTTGAGAGATGTTGCTTAAGTGGTGAAAAAAAATACATTTAAGTGAAGAAGAAATAGTAAGAGAAGAGGGAGAAAACAACAAGAGCACTTTGGGGAATCCAATTTTGCTGATTCAGGATGCCAAAGTTCTGAGAAACAGATTCACTTTTCTGATGCACAGGAAAATATAGTTAGTATCATCTCTAGGCAGAGAAGTGTTGATTGACTGACTGAAAACATGTATATACTTGAGTATTAAGCATGTATGATGTATCAAGCATACATCAAAACTAAAACCAGAACAAGCTAATTGTACACAAAGCCTTGATACTGATTCTTGTTTCTCTGATCTTGCTGCTAACTATAAAGAGAAGAGAGACTTTGGATTAATTTGCCTTGTAAAAAATTGCATTATCTTGAAAATAGTATGTGACACAAATTTAATTTGTATTAGCGTAGTCTGGCTGCTGATGATTCTACCAAAGAGTTACAGTCCCAAGCAAAATGTACTATGTCAGGGCCCTGAGGGCACTTAAGTGTCCTGACTAGCCTCACTTAAGACCTCCACCCAAAACCCACTGAGCAAGGGCTCCGCTTAAGCCCAGACTGGGGCATTCAGGCCTTGCCTGGCTGTGTCTTAGGTGCGCCTGCCCCTAGCGCTGTTCCTGAAGTGCTGTGTGGGAAGCCCTGGATGGACCTTGGACCTGGCCTGTTACCCTGTCTTGCCTGAGGCTTACTGGACTGTGATAGTACCTGTTGATGTCATTACCCTTCTCAGCTTGCTTACATCTTGGTGCTGTGGGACTGCATCTTGGTGAGTGTGTTGCCCACCATGTGCCCCCAGATCACCTTCCCTTAGGGAGCAGCCCCACCCTTGCTGCTCCCTGACATGCTAATTGTAGTCAGTTGTTTTGAAAGATCCAATGTGATCAAATGTAGATCCAATATGATCAGATATGTGCCATCCTCATAACTGATCCAGTTTATCAGGCGATTGAGAAGTACCTGGTGTCTTTTGACTCCAAGACAAGCAGCCAGTTTTAAACTAGCTTGATCTATAAAGTAATTTTTAAAATGGAAGCTGGGCACAGAGCTGATCCTGCAGCTTCACAGTTTCAAATTAGCGCTGTTTCTGCTGTGATGCAAGTGTGCTACTTGAGTTTCTTCTGAGTCCCATAAGAAAGATAATTAATACTTGTTCAGAATGTGCTGCTTCTGGGGAGTGATCAACATCTCTTCAGAACTGGACTCTACTGTAAACAGAATGCAGAGAATTCATTCAGGTTTGAGGAAAAGTAACATGGTTAAATTTTTTTTGATTGTGTGCTCTGTTTCACAGTGAAAAGAATATCACAGTGTTTATTGTGGTGGTAGTGACTAGAAGGAGGGGTTGCTGTAAGTAGGCCAGAGAGACTGATGGTAAACTTAGAAACTGAATGTATCAATTTGCTTTTTATACAAAACTTTCCTTGCTAGAATCTGGTGAGTAAAAGTAATATAAATAATTCCTTGTATTTAGAAGTACTCTGGACAGAAAAAAGGCAAAATAAATTGGTTTTTCTTTTGTTTTATTCTGTCCAAGATAAAAGAAATAACTGATTATAAAATGAATCCTCTGAAGGCACTTTTTTTTTTTTTTTTTAGAGAATGCTCTCTGTAGATGCATTATGGTTTCCAATACTTGAATCGAAATTACAGCTCACAAATGACAGTTTCCTGCATGTTGAATATTGATGTATTAGTTCATTCAGTATATAAAGAGAGCTAATTATACAGAAGCAAGTTCTGAGGAAAAAAAACCCAACTACTGATTTGCTGGAGTCTGAGTACTGAAGTGTCCATACGGCTTCAACCCTTCCTTTGTCTTCACAGTGTTGCTGAAACCATGGTCACAGTTAAATGGCTCTTTCAAAAACCCCTTTATGGTAGAAGTGAAAACAGGCCAGACTGCTTTGAGTCAGGCTGCTAACCAAGTCATGAAAGAGATTTACGGACACAATAGCACGTTGTACATTCTGTGAGATTTATACAAGTTTTATGAGCCAAATAATGGATCCATTGGTAGTCTCAGCAGGTTCTTCTCACACCCTGAGTCTGCACATCCAATCAACAGACTCCTGCAGAGGAGAATGGATCAAGGGCTGGCAGATTTGAGTATGTCAGAGAACTTCGTGTGAATTGTTTTAATCAAATTCATGTGAACTAAAGACAGCTTTCTGTCCCATTGCTATTCACTCTAAATACTTTAGGAACTTGTAATAGAAGTCTGTGCTGTAATCATTAAGGCTGTATCAGGGTGGAAAGAAAAACAGATTTCTCTCCTCCTTTCATGGAAACCATTCAGGAATTTTCTGTGGAAGTAGTGCTAATAATTGCAGAAATACTTATCAGCAGTGAGTTGATGAGTATTATTATGGCCTGAGGTTTTGGAGTTGTATTTTAATCCATTAGTGGAAAAATTACAAAATTTATGACTGACTGTCTGCTCAGTATTGGTCATGAGGGAAGTTTATATTTAGATTTAGACTTGAAAAACCTGACACTGGTCTAAGGAAATTACAGCTGCAGAAAGACATGATTCCATTGTGAAGTTTTACTGAAGGATTCTTGTCTGTCCCAGCCCCATAGTGTTCATTTTTTCCCTATTTTTACTACTCCTTGATTTTGTTAGAAAGCAAACTGACATAGAAATT